CTCCAGGTCACTGCTTCTTTGGTTTTCTCATTATATAAAGTTACTAAACATCAAATGATTTTCTTTTTTTTCTTGTGTATGTAATGAAAAGTTTTATAAAAAATACTTTGGCAGTGGTTTGTTTGGTGTTTTTTTATCTGTTCAAACTGCTATTTACTTGTATATAAAATGCTCTGAGGTTTTTATTTTCTCCTAGTTAGCCATAATTCTTGAAAGTTTCATACATTTTTTTCCAGGAAGATGTCGATTAACTCGATGGTGTCATCTGATTGGAGTGCTTTCCCTTCACCTTCGTCTGCTTTCTCAGTTAGAAATATCAATGATTTTTCTTTTTCAGTGCTGGCTGGCATTGACATAATTTATGACTTCATGTGTATTATTATATTTTTAAAATATGCGCTTTCATAAACGTTGTGGTACAGCGGTTGTCACCACGGTGTAATCACCAAAAACAGTCTTTGGTTGTCAAACCTGAGATGACTAACTGAACAGCTCTAGCCTCCTGTCACTGTAATCTCAAAAGCTGTTTTGTGTTGTTTGATGATGTCACACTTTTAGCGTGGGATAACGAAACTTATCAACTCCTTGTTCACAGAGTGGTGTGTAATGTGAGCTGGAGAATCCTTTCACATAATTTGGTCTAGTCATTAAAAGCCTATCCGATTTGGTTCATCTCATTGCTTGCTTATATCGATTTTGAGGATGATAATAATGTCGATGATTCACATTTTCACGCTAATGAGTTGTACTTGATGCAATTCACCATTGCAGTCACACAACTCGTCGCAAGAAAGGCTGAACAGTTCATTGTGTAGCACGAGCTTGACAGGAACACAACTGCTCAACAGCAACATCAGTTGTGTAAGTGTGGACCGTGATATTTCGAACGCCGATGAAAAGTTTGCTAGCTGCAGTGGTAGCTTCCTATCGACTTTTGGTGGCACCAGCTCGTGGAATGAAAATTCAGAGTTGGATAAAAGTGTTAGCAACAACGCACATGCAAGAAATTCTTTCCAGTCAATGTCTTTCAGACCGAGGGCTCAGAGTTTTACGTTAGTGATTTAGTAATGTGTTTGAGTGAATGTTTTCTTGTTTGTAGTTCCATAGTGTGACGGAGGGGTTGGTTTCATGCTATTATTTGGTTTCAATTTGAAAAATTGTATGAACATCTAATTCACAATAACTGGGTAAGAATAGAAATTTATATGCAATAATTATAATTATTTGATGAATTAGATCAGTTCTGCTGTTCACAAAATTCAATTTTAAAACATTAAAATCTTTTTTGCATTTTAATATGATTTTAATTTTAATGAAATCAGTGCTAATTAGTCTCTACTTATCACATATTAAGATTTTTATAAATCTTGCAGTCATTCGCCCGTTGAAGCTGATGCTGATCTCAGTGCTTTGAATGAATTCTACAGAAAAAGATTTCCAAAGGTTCTTAAATTCTGATTTTTTTTCTCAATTTCTACCTTTAATTATTTGTTTTTGTTTTTCTTCCTCACATGCACTGTAGAATGTTTAATTCTGACAGTGAAAAAATACCGTGTTGTAATTGTTGCAGGCCACAGAAGAGATGGAGCTGAGGTTGGTTCACTATCTGCGCAGACACTCACTTGCATCTCAGTACCCGCACATCAAATCTGATGGGTCGGCTTCTTTTGTCTATCACCAACTTAATGAACTGGCGTCTGATTGTCTGGAGAAATCACGAGAGAATCAAATATCCAGCCAGTACTTGGCCGGCATGGTCAACAACATGGAACAACTTCTTGAAAACGTAGGCTTTTTATGTCTCATTCCATTTCTCCTTTTTGACATCTTGTTTAAATTTTAAAACAGCTAAACAAACAATTCATGGATTTTTAATTCGGCTAGATTGTCTTCTACATTTATTATTTTTTGACATTTAATTTGTTTTTTAAATGAAATTCCTAACTATTTGCATGAATGAAGGCACGATCAAAAACTTCCTCATCGTGTGATGAGCTGGCACAAATGATTCAGGAGCTGCTCATCATCATCTCAAGACCTGCCAGACTACTCGAATGTCTGGTCAGCTTCAGACTTCTATTTTTTCTAATCGTTTATTAATCATCATTATTTGAATTATTTATAACTCAATGTACACGACCATTTTCAACATCCGTAGGAATTCGATCCAAAAGATTTTTATCGTAAACTGGAAGAAACAGAAGTTGAAGTGAAGAAGATATCGAGTTCTGACGTGGTTAGTTACGTATTCAACCAGCTGGGTCTTGAGAAGCCATCAGTTGAACCTGTTTATCACCATCATCGTCTCAATTTGAATAGTTTTTTAGGTTATTTATTTAATTTTAATCATAATTTTTTAGTTTATGTTATTTTCACCCTTTTAATAATTATTTGTACATATGATGTCACTGCTCTTTGTTATGCTCGAGGTGTGGTTTTTATTTTTGTTTTCATGTTTTTGAATTTTTATTTTGATTCTCACGGCTGCTGCTGGAGTTTACTGTTTAATTTATTTTATGTAAAATTTATTGCCAGTCATAACTGTTTACAAGCTTAATATGTTACGTGTGGTGAATTTTTTCCACTGCAGGCTGTCAGGGAAAAGATTGTGATTCATCAGACACTTCAAGCAACAACTCCAGTTATGAGGTTATTCATTGTTATTATCATTATTATTATTATTATTATTATTGTTATTATTATTATTATTATTATTATTATTATTATTATTATTATTGATAAACTCCATGTTATTACCGTGATGTGTCTTATATTCATATTGACGAATTAATACCGAACAGCCTGCAAATTTCAACGTGGACGTCGAGTGCCACACCTCCCTGACGCCTCCGTTTTTTGAGCGCCATTTTAATGAGAACCAAAATCAAAATGCACTGCTGGTATCATCATCCACGCCGTCAAGAACTCCACAGGAATCTGATTTTGAAACCGTCAAGTTGATAAGCAACGGTGCTTATGGGTTGGTTCTACCTCTTTCCCCCTTCATTTCATACGTTTCATAAGTTAAAAGATTCATAACTCATGAAATAATAACACTTTTATGATATCTAATGGTTGTTTAAATTTGTGGAAACTTAGCTGAATCTAATGGTTGTTAAATTTTAAAATATGAAAACTGAGTTGAATAAATAATGATCATGTTGTAACATAGTATCATTTTCTTGTAGCACTTGTATTGTTGATAATGTTGCACATCAGCCTGGATCATTCCTCGGACATCTTCTATAATTGTTTGTAGGCGTTAATTAATATAAACAAATAAATTGGCATATAATACTACAGCTGCATAAGTTTGACTATTTAATTTGTAAAATGTTCATACATTCTTCAAGTTGGTTTGAACGTGAACATTTCAATCTCATGGCATGATTGTTTCTTGAAATAGATGTTATATTATTATTATTATTAAATTGTTGACAAATAAATAACAGTGCAGTGTTGCTGGTGAGGCACAAAACTTCCAAGAGGTTGTTTGCAATGAAGAAACTCTTGAAAAGTAACTTGGTGCTGAGAAACATGGTGGAGCAAGTTTTTGCAGAGAGAGATATATTGACATTTATCGACAATCCATTTGTTGTCAGCTTCTACTGCAGCTTTGAAACTAAGGTTGCACTGTTACCTATTTTAATTTTGTTTAATTAATACTAATAAGCAAGATTTATGATTGAGTAATTAGAAATTAAACTCAGTAGGTAATGTCAAATTACTTTTCAGAAATTTTTGTGTATGGTGTTGGAGTATGTGGAGGGGGGTGACTGTGGGGCCCTCCTCAAGAATATATCCGGTCCCTTACCACTCGACATGGCTAGGTTAGTTACTTTAACGGCTCACGCACACCTTTTGTTGACAGTTTTTAACTCCTTATCGCTTATCTATTCAAGTACTGTTTTTGTTTGTTAGGTTGTATTTTGCTGAAACTGTTCTAGCTTTGGAATATTTGCACAACTTTGGAATTGTGCATAGAGATCTCAAACCTGACAAGTTCGTTATTTTGTCATTACTACGAATTATTGTTTTTATAGTTAACATTGTGATTCACTCCTTAATAGCTTGCTCATAACTTCAATTGGTCACATAAAGCTGACAGATTTCGGCTTGTCAAAAATTGGTCTTATGAAAAGTAAGTGGTTTGTCTCACTCTCTTTCATTTTCTTATCGTCTCATCGCATTTAACTTTTCTTCATAAGTTTGGGAAATTTTATAACTTTGATTAACTATAGGTAGAATATGAATTTTTGTATGTGCTTCAGTGCATTCCAATTATTTTTACCTTGCTATTTTAAAACATTAACATGTTGATTCCACGTTGTTGTGTGTGTGTATCTTTCTTAAAATATCTTCGGATAGTTAACTTGAATTTTTTGTAACTGCAAGATTAAGAAAATATTTCAATTAAACTTACTTACTTTTGACAACCAGTTAGGTAGGCTATGGAATGTGTCTTTCAGTTGAAAGTGCTAATTATTTTTATGCATTTTTATTTTGTTGAAGATGATTTTTTTGCCACAAAATTGAGAACTAATTTGTTGAATTTTGTTTGAATAAAATCATTAATATTTCAAAATAATGATCATAAAATGATTTTAAACAAACCAGTGACCACAAATTTGTTTGAGGGTCCCATGAGAGACAGCAAAAAGTTTTTGGACAATCAGGTTTTCGGGACACCCGAGTACATTGCCCCTGAGGTTATTCTCAGGCAGGAATATGGTCGCAGTTTATTTATTTATTTATTTATTTAATCACTAAATTTCATTAAATATAATAAAATTGTAAGGTTTTTTAATTTTGCTGCTAATCAAGCAAATTTGATGCAAACATGTTTCAGACTGGATAGTTTTATTAATTACATGTCCTTGCGCTGCACTCATCAAATTCCTTTTTGAATTCCCGCTCCAATTTACAGATGTTTACATAAATGCGAGGCAATGCATCTATTTTTTTCAAATCCACCATTGTTTGACTTCACAGCTTAACATCTTCAAACCCATTTTAACAAAAACAAAAATAAAAAAAAACAAAAACAATAATAAAAATAAAAATAATGTACATTTGTTTATTAATCATTCGTTTATTTATTTGAATATATATTTTGAATGCCCTTTTAAAGTAGGATAAATAAAAAGATTTCATTCGATTTGAAGAAAGATTTAATTTTTGATCTGTTCAAGTATAAATGTCAACGTGATATGATATCGGAGAAATTTGATATAATGAAAATTTAATTTGATAGGCAAGCCTGTGGACTGGTGGTCCATGGGCATCATCTTGTATCAATTCCTGGTCGGCTGCGTTCCTTTCACCGGCAATTCACCCGAGGAGGTCTTCAGTGAAATCGTTACTGGTCTGCATTCATTTGTTTCACATTGTTTGTTTGTCTGTTTGTTCTTTTTTGTTCGTTTTTTTGTTTGTTTTATTTGCTTGCAACACTTCTTCACTGATAATCTTAGTCTACCACTTTCCCTTGACCCATATATATCAGAAGTTCTATATTTATTTACTCTATCACCTCCCTACTTCTTTTACATGTTCAAACCATTTCAATATAATGCATCTAATCGCTTATTCCAATTGATCTGTACCCTGCTTTTTCTATAAATCTTCATTATCGATACCATTTTGTAAGGAGAAGATCTTTCAGTAAAATGAATATTATATCTATTTGTAACGCTATCTTTGAACTTGATAACAAAAATTTTGTTGGCTTAACAGTTGTTTATAATAAAGCTGAATAACCAAAATCAACCTCTCAATAACGTGACGAGGTTTTAACAATCCCAAGAACAGTTGATTAAAAATATATCAACTTCTTATTTTACACTTTTATATAGCATAATGTTATGCAACGCCTTAAAGATAGCAAATGTGATGAAAAAACGTGGTGCTATTTCGGTCTATAGCAGTCACTTATTATGTTTTATACATCATTCAACTGCTGAATGAAGCCAAATGCTCGACTAACTTATTTCATCCTGTTCGTCAATGAACTTCAATTGAACTCCGCACGCCACAGGTGAGATCGACTGGCCTGAGGAAGAGGAATTCAAAGTGTGTGACGACGCTGTGGACATCATCGAATCCCTGCTCATCAAAGATCCCACGCAGAGGTATGCATGACACATTGAATGGTCCAGTAACAAATAACTGGGATGAAAAGTTTACTTTTGTAGCGTTCCACAGTGTCACGTGAAATTATTTAAATTTTAATTTCATAATTTTGTCGAGAAAGTTGTTGTTTTAGATTTGTTTGAAAATTATTTTACAGTTAAAAAAACATTAAGTGGTTTGATAACATTAAGGTTAAAATGTAAAACAATTATAGTGCATCAACAAATGAGTGCATCAACACACAGAAGATTTTGTGTTTATTTGGAAAGGAAAGAATCGAAGGCGATGAGTTGCAAACACTGGTTCAGTAAGTTGCTGAGAATGAGAAAGTGGAATCCGAAATTAGCGGTTCAACAATCAACAGTGAATGTCGCATTAGATAAAATGTGTTTTGAGAAATTTATCACAACTTTAATTTATTCCAACATCTATTTTTTGGCATACGTTTTTATTTAACATTCTATACAGCATAATAAAAGATATTTGTAAAATGTCGTACAGGTTGGGTTCATCCGGGTCAACAGAAGTTAAAGTTCATGATTTCTTCAAAGACGTAGATTGGAATAGTTTGTTGCGACAAAAAACTCAGTTTGTTCCTCAACTAGTTGGAGATGATGACACCAGTTATTTTGATGGTTGGTTGGGTGATCGGTTGGTTGGTCAGTCGGTTATTCAGCAGTTGTCATTTATTTTCCAATCTAATTTTTACATGCTGTCTAGTTGCTCATACATAATTTAGTCTATAAATTTCAGGTAAGCATGTTAGAAAATATAAGCAAAGCAGTTATTTCATAATTCCATTTCATAATCTCGTTTCAAAATGTTGCTCACTGAACGTTCTTCGTTATATTTATTTAATTAATTTTTTAAATATTCATCTAACTAGATCTTCAATTATAACAGTAATTAACTAAATAATAATAAATATGTATTAAAATTTTAAAGATTTATTACAAAGCCATTTTGCGAGATTGTCAAATTTTCTTAATAATTTTGATATAATTCTACTTATCGTCACACATTTCATATTATTATTTGGATGTTGCTCGTTTTTTATGATACAGCATTGAGTTCGTGAAAGAAAATATGAAACCGTTTCAATTTTTTTCATTGCAATGAGCAGAAAGGACAGACAGGTATCAGCATCAGATCGATGATTCTGGTGGTGATGAAGAGGACGAGGATGACGAGAGCGAACTCTTCAAAAGTTTTTCAACCTGTTCTCCCCGCTACAGCAGAACTGAAAACCATTTTAAAATACTCGACGTTAGAAATTTAAATAACAAATTGTAAATAAGAGTTATTAAAGCGTTAATTAGAAATGTAAATTACTTTATTACTTCATTTTCATTATTCTTATTTTTATTCATTTACTTTTACTAATTAATATATAGGCTACTTTAGTTTAGATTTCAGATTTAGTTTCGTTGAAATTAAAATTTTTAATAACAAATATAACTTGGTATCATGGAAAAACATGGACCTCCATAAAACCACATGAATGATTTTATTGACAAAATTGATGACATTAGATGAGCGAGACACCTTACGACATCAGAATGGATCTGATGAAGAGCAGTTTCGGCAATGAAAAGAAAGCTAACGAGGATGAAAATGCATCAAAATCTGACAACGAAATGGACGAGAAACAATTAGGTGCCGACCAGGGGGAGACATCATCAGCTGTTGTTTGTGTTGACTCCATGACAACTAGCAGCCTTCAGCAGAGCAACGATGATGTGGATTACGAATCTATATTGAGAAATAATACTTCCATTTTATCGTTGCCTGAAAGGTTGCTTTTACAAATATATCATCTTCATCATTTCCTTAATTTTTCTATTCTATTTCTTCGAAATCCCATTAATAGATGATTGAATCCATAACCCCAACTCTGCTCTGCTTTTAGCTATGCTGAATATTATTTCAGCTTATTTAATTTTAATAATTCCTATTTACAACTTGTTTTTCAAAGTTTTTTGTCAGAAAATCATGAGATCACGAACACTTCCATCTTCACAATCTTCACTTTTCATCGGCGTGTAGCATATTTTTCAGCAAGAAAATTCAATTTATTTCTTTTAAATCTTCAGCTAAACGCATCACGGCTTTGTTATTCTGTTCCATATTTCTAATAGTTCTCTCGTAAGATTGTTCATGTAGCCTTTTTTTCAGTGAAGTTTATAAAGAAAAATACCTTTTGTTTCGTACTTTGGTTAAGATGTAATTTCAGTGTATAACTGGCATTGAAAAGCTTTATCATTAAGCTTTTCAATGCCAGTTATACACTGAAATTCATCACTATGCAGTATCTCCAGACTCGGCTTATGTCTTAAACTATTAAATTTTCATTGAAACATTTTTAAGACTACATCAAAGCCGGAAAACGTTGAAGTGTTGAAAAAAATATTTTTTTTCCAATATTCAAAACTAATTAGCAAATGTAAAATTTTAGCTGTCCTGGTCATTATAACCACATAAAAATTGTCCATTTGATTTGTTAATATCAAACTGTTAACATTGAATATTCAACTAATAAATTTATTTAATTAATTTTTTAATTGAACTAATTCCAAAGACCTCATAGTTTGTCTGGATCATCTGCCTCGGAACCGTCTGGTTTGTAACAAGCTTAATTTTTTTTCAATTCTACATTTGTTTTTTGCATGAAGTTATTTTTAAAATAAAGAAACTAGAAAATTTCGCCCGTTTTGGGAAATTTTGATTGAAAATGAAAAATCTGTTGTTTCTTATTTCCATTGAATTGGTTCAAAAATTGTTTGCTGGTTATATTACATTATTCTAATGTTTTCAATCGAATGCGTAATTGCCCAATTCATTAGTTATAGCCTGAATTTGATGCTTATGTCAGAGATATATATAGCGTTATATTATTGTTCATTATAGAAAAGAAGAAGATCCCAGAATTGGCAAATTTGAGAGTGACTGGCTCTTTGAAACGCGCTAGAGAAGCTCTGCTCACGAAATCATCATCTTCATCTTCTCTTAGTAATTTCAGCAATTTAGCATCGACTCCCACCAAAAGCAAAGGTAATTTGGACTGCACATTCGCATCAAATGGAATTCTAAATTAACTCCGTTTTTGTAATCAAATTTTTTACTAAAAAATGAAAATTTTGTTAATGGGACCGTTATTTCACGTTAATTGATTGCAAAGAATTTTATCTGTTCTTTTTATTTCTGTATTATGCAACAACGTTTTTTACTGAATTGTTTTAAGGTTAGTCATTTTTTATTTGCATTAGCTCCTCATAGACTGGTGAAGCAGTTGTCAAGGGAATCAAGTGGAAGTTCTTTCGATGACTCCTCTTCTTTCATCGAAACATCTGTCAAAGTTGTCAGCGTCACAAGAAACAGGGAAGGATTCGGATTTAACATTCGAGCTCTAAAAGTATTAAATCCTGCGAACAACAAATATTCATTCCAACATATCATTATGGTGAGCCTTATAATTAATTCATTGGTTCATTTATCATTCTAGTTTATAATTATTTAGTTGCATCGCTGAGGCTTCTCGTAAATTATAAGTTTCAGTTGTCATACATTTGTCAACACACAAGATGTACAAAAAACGAAGAAAATTTATTTTGAATTTTTTAATATGGCAGGCAGTTGAGAAGGGCAGTCCAGCTTACAGTGCAGGGTTGTGTGTAGGAGACATGTTAACCCACGTTAATAATGTTTCAGTTTCTGGCATGAATCACAGTCAAGTTATTGAGTTGATTCTGCAACAACAATCTCAGCAGAAAACAAATAACGAAAATATATCTGCATCAACAACATCTACACTCAGCAGGAAAAGCAAAAAAAATGTTTTTGAATTGTTAGAAAAAGATGAAGACAGTGATGGGGCAGTACATTCCAGAGCAATAAACAAGTCCTCCAGTTCTCAGCAACGTGAAGTTGAAACCGGCATTCATAAAACTGCAGACACAGAAACTCATTCCTACATTTCATCCCTGCTTGAACCACATGCAGCAAAATTAGATGATAAATCTGAGAATAAAAACATTCTTAGAAAACATAGTTTGACTGTTCATGATAATCAAAACAATATGAACCCTGAAAACAAAAAGTTAGCACAAAGTTTTTGCAACATTTACAGAGCTTGTAATGAAATTGCTCAAGTATGCTCTATTTCCATAAATAAACCTGATGCTGAAAGTAACATATCAAGCAACACGAAGCTGTCGAACGAGCCACAAAAGGATAGTGACAAATCAAATTGCAACAAAGAAACAGAAAAAACTGGCAACAATGCATCTAAGAGTATCAGGCGTTTTATGAAACACACCTTTTCTCATAAACGCTCAATTCCTGGGGCAACCAAAACTAAATGGTACGATAAAGAAGAATCAAAAGCTGGATCATCTGATTTGCTTCCTGTCAAAGAAATATACAAAATTGAAAAAGAAAAATTATACGAATCAGAGGCATCATCACTTTCGAGAAACAGTGAATGTCTGACAAATGTTTATGAGATGTTAGATGAAAATTTGGATGAAACAGCTTCCAAATTGAGAGGCAACAACAGTCCTCCTACTGATGAGCAATCACTACTAGAAAAAGAAGTTGAAGAAGCTGATAAAATATCTTTTAGCCCATCATCACCGCCCACGTTTTATCAAAGCGTTGAATTTAGGGTCATACCTACAGTTAAAGTAAAAAGGTAACAATTAAGCATTTTAAACTGAATTTGGATTTTATTTTTTATTTTTCCATTATTTTTTTCCAGATCGTTAAAAATGCATAGAAGATTGTCTACATATGGTTGCAGAAGAAAAAGCACATCTGAGTACCTTAATAGTCCAAGAACTTTATTGATTCAACAAAAGAGAACATGTCAATTAAGGAGGACCAGCACTCAAAAGTGGTACATGCCGAGCAACAGTGGATTTTCGAGTTCTGACAGTGGAAGCGCATCCAGTAGGGTTTCATTCTACATTCTATTTATTCAAGTTGAATTATTATTTGCACTTGATTTTTTTATTCATTCCAAATTCAGTGTCCCCAACTATGCAGAAACATAACGAACAATCAAAATGCCCACTTTCAGCTCATCATCGTTGCCTAGTGAATCTTACATCATCTTTCATACCAAAACAACAACCTCATTCTCTCTCCAGTTCCAGAAATTCACGCCCCAGTTCATTGTTGTTGAGCAAGCGCCGCACTAGTTTGGGCGGTCCGCTTTTGTCGCCATTGGTGTTGTGTTCTTCTCCCATTAGCCATGGTAAAAATAGACAGGCTGGCAGTAGTAAAGAGAGTTACAATAGCGTTGACAGTGGCGCGGGAAAATGTGGGTCATCAAATGTAGAGTCTCAGTCCGTAAAATCTCACCTGTCAAAAAATGAAACAAATGAAAATTGTTTGCATTTATCCGAAATGATAAATGATATGAACATTCATTCTAAGGATGAGAAACCTTGCAACAACCTTAAATTAAAGTTTCCGGAACTTGCCACAGATTGATTTTTCAGTGAAGCAATAATAAGCTAAACATGGATGCCGCATTTTGTAATCATATACACACGCATAGGAGCTCATATAAGTAATGTAGCAAAACATGATCCATGCATATATATTAAAGTCTTTCAACCACAAAGTCCACATTCCAGATGAAAAAGCAAGTTTATATTATTTTGACCCATGTTTTTACTTGAATCTATTTTTAAAAGTGCACTTGTATAAAAATATGAATTTTTAGTTTATTTTTTAAAATTGCTGAATTTATCAATTTTTAAATGCAATAAATCAAACTAAGAAAACTCAAATTTACAATGTATAACATATTAAGTATTTCTCAGAAAAAATTTAAAAGTTGCTCATTAAATTTTTTCATCTCTATTATTTGTTTTTATTGAACAATCTTGGTAACTTAAGCAGGCAACAAACTATCACTTTTTCCAAAATAATTTTAAAATGGCTCATTCTCTGAGCCTGATTCTTCTTGGTACTTAACAACTAGACTATTGAATAAATCTTTTCATTGGTTGGCTGGGGTTATCCATGCTGAAAACTTCAATTCATTTGTTAATTTACATTGCATTGCTGCTATATCTAACTACTGCTACATTCACACCCTACTGATTTTTTCTGCTTGCCTATAATTATAAATTCACAATAAATTAAATTCTTGGACCAATTGGTAGAACTATCATAAAATATGCAGCTGATATGACTGCTCTTGTGAAATCACTTTCTTTTCTGTTAACCTTGAAACTATTTACTATACTTATAGATTCATCAAAGGCACTTAGTTTTCTTCTTAGATTTAAGCTATTTTTAGTCTTTTAAATTTATAATTCTTAATTTAATAGTAACTAGCGCCATGTTCTGGCTAATATCATATTTCATAAACGTAATCAAGTTATTTCTTCACGAAGACAGATCGTGTTTGTAATTTAATAAGCAACGAGTAAACTGAAAAATAAACTAAGCCTGCTGCTTTATGATTTAACGATAAAATTAATAAATGTTTTGCTTCACAAATTTGCATTTCATTTGATTTTAGTAACCATAGATAAAAACTTGTTTAGTTAAATGTTGGTATCAAGTTTATTTAAATTATTTTTAGCGTTATATATACTATGTTATTATCATTTTCGAGTTTTAACAAAATTTATCTTCTTTTAAACATTTGAAATAAACAATGAAGATTGATATTTGACTTCCTTTTTAATTGAAACCTTAAAACTTTTAGGGGTTGATTATTTAGTTTCAAAGAACACGTTTGTTTTTGAATGTATACGTAAAAATCTTGTCTGGTTAACATTAAGCACCCAGTTACAATGTCTAACGTTTTGGGTAACTCGTAAAAAGCGACGTGGTTGTGGAGAAGCCGATGGGTATATGCTTTCCTGTTTTTTTCATTTTCTCCGTGCGTTTGTGGGCGCGTGTGTGCATGTGTACTTAAATAGCAAGACAAAAAATTAATTATAATAAATGAGCACATTGCAGAAAAAATTCGAAATTACTATCGTGGGGTCAAAATCGGTTACATCAACATTGGTTCGTGGTGCCCAAATGTCTGGCTTTTGTGCCCTTACTCTACATTCTGTATTCAGCTGGCATTGTGAAGGTCGCTGGGACATTTGGTCTCAGCTCCCATTTTGATGCCGATTATATTCAAATGGCTTCATCTCACTTAATTCAACGAATAAACTAAACAACGAATAAACTCAGACTCTAAAGAGGTGGTGGAACAGCGGATGTCAGCAGATTAAAACTAGTTTTATGTGGCTTGGTGATCAACCCGGTTGTTGACTGTGGTGTTCTCGATCCATGTCTCTATATATGTCAAAGATATTTTATCAACTAAACAAGACAAGGATTAGTATTTATTTTACAGAAGTTTACAAGGAAAATAAAAACAGAAAGCACCGTTTTTTAAGTACAAAATCGGCTAAAAATTGGCATAAGCAAAAAGATCAAGGGTTGCCAGCCTAACGTTGGGCATACTAACGAACATTTGGTCAATTTTTCGGTCTCACCATCAAATTTCAACGTTTCTACAACGTAGTCCGTTGTCTAGATACGCCACTGGCAAAGCATGGTAATCTTCTGACCTCTGTCCAAAACATTTTATCTTGGGAGGAAAATGTTTTAGCTGCTTTAGCTAAAATTAAGAACTCATTGGCAGCTGATTTAAAGTTAATACAAACATCAAAGATAATGTTTTTAAAAACCTTTCAAGACATCACTTTTTGGATATGACAAATCATCAACACCCTTGAAGATAACTCAACAGACATTGTTAGCGTACAATGTAGTACCAAAGTATTTAAATTTCTCAAATTTATTGGGTCATTCTCAACAAATCAAATCAATTCGATGTTTAGGGGTGTTTATTTTTAAATGTTACATTATGCTCATGTACATGTGTATGTTCATAGCTATATACATGCATACGTATATACAATATGTACAATATCTTTATATATATATAAGCCTCACACAACAAAATTATTAACCAACGAAGTAATAAAAGGTCAAATGTTAATTATATGCCATTTGTTAATTTGACAATGTATCATACATAAAAATTCTAAAAACATCAAATAGTGTGAACAGAAATGGTAAACTAAAATTATCAATTATCACATATTACAATATTTTTGTATTTTTTGGACCTTGTAAAAAATAAGCCAAAAAGCAGAGTTTAAATATATTGAGAAAATTCATACCTGAAAATTTATCATTATCTTATTATTTATAAAATACAATGAAAATGTTCACTTAGAATAATTGACATAAAAGCAAAGTAAAAAACAGCATTTGAAAATTAAAAATTTAACAAATACTCATAAAAATGTAGCTTTAATTATGATACCAAAACTTATTAATAAAAATCTGGGAACAAAGTTAGCCTATGAAATCGGGACTAGATTTTACCCAACCAGACCAAAACTTCCCAAACCATCCTTTTGTTGAAGAATCTACAGCTGATTTTTCATTTATAAGTTCAGTTGTGGAATTCAAAGGAGTCAAGGTAGTTGCTGCTGGTGCGTCTCCTGATGATGATGGAGGATCAACCACTTGAATCGCATGCTCATTCGTGGCCTTTTAGTTCAACATTATAAATATTGTGGCATTTCAAAATTAATTTTAATTCATTTTAAAGATTAGTTTAGAATGTTCTAAACTTTAGTCTAAATCAAGTCAATTTGGAGTAAAGCATTTTTTTATGCTGACATGTAAAAGTCTATTGTACGATAGTCTAATGTAGATGAATAATTGAGCCGAAAGAAATATAGAAATATAAGCGTTAAAAGTTAAAAGTCAAATTACTCGCTGAGTAATAATGTTAGGCTTGTGAAATTTTCATAGTTTATTAATAAGCATATCTAAGTACATTTGGTGAATATTTGAAAAAATCTAAAGCTTAATTTTTGTAAAAACAACTTTTCAACTTTAATGCTAATAACCATAAAAAGTTTTTGTGAATAAAAGTTATGTTGTTTTTTGTTCTAAATCTTTGAATTTTTTTTTACAAAAACTAGTTAATAAAATTTGCATCATATACACATGAATTTGTGATTAATAAGCCTTGAAAATTTCAACCATTACTTTATAACATAGTTATTGTTATAACCTTAAAAACCGACAGGCTCTAGATGATTAGTTAAATTTGTATTCAGTAAAAACCAGTTTTAATGTTTTTTGTCCTATATCTTTGAAAATTTTTTTACAAAAAAAATTATACTTCAGAAATTTATAAAATTTGCACCATACACACATGAATTTGTGATTAATAAACCCTGAAAATATTACAGACCCTAGATTACTTTGTGAGTTTTTTGAGTTTTATTAATTAACACTCATATTGAGATCCTTGGCTGAGAAAAATCCTTGGCTAGAATAAATTCAAAGTGTATTTACAAAAAACTATGCTTTAGAATTCATTTGAATTTTAACCATTTTTTTATAACATAGTTATTGTTATAACTTCAAAAACTATCATACCCCAGATGATTAGTTACATTTTTATTCATTATAAATTTGTGATTAATAATTCCTGAAAATTTTACAGTCCCTAGATGATTAGTTACATTTTTATTCACAAAAAACCGTTTTTAAGGTTATTGGCATTAAATTTGAAAAATTGCTTAAACAAAAACTAAACATCGGATTTTTTTTAAATTTTCACCAAATGTACTTAGATATAATAATAATAATAATAATAATAATAATAATAATAATAGCAAAGTTTAAAGTGATTCAGTAGACTAGCATCTGTGTAAGAACCACTACAAAATAAATGTTCTAGTATCCTAGCTTTTGAATTTAAAATTGTTGATTGAATCCACTGAGACAATTTCATCGCTCAGCTCATTCCAGTTGTTTACCACCTTGCTGCTGAAGAATCTTTGCTTTATTGGATTTTCTTGTCTTCTTGAAAAGCTTGTATCTATGACCTCTTAATCCTTTCCTTTTTTCTAGTTAAAAGAACCTGGTGAATGGTATTTCTTCCTTTCCAGTTATTAACTTATATGTCTAAATCTAAATCATATCTCCTTTGCATCTTCTCCTTTCTAGCATTGTTAATCTGCATTCTTTCAGTCTATCCCTACATTCTAGTTTTCCAACTCCTTCAATTATCTTTCTTGCTCTTTTACAATTCAAATTTTAAACCACTATTGATTGTGAAGCAAATTAAAAAGATAAGACAAAAGTTGCCCAGAATTTGAAAAGTTAGTTAACCAATAAGTTGTTCTGTTATGTTTCGAACTAATTCGAGAAACGAAGAGAATAACAAGTAACACAAATAACATAAGGAAGCATAACACAAGTACAATGAAACTAAAAATAAATTATTATTTTATAAAATTAAATAAAAAGACAAGAAATGAAAAACAAAGAGCGTTCAAATTGGATGCTTACCTCTGGGAGCTGTTTTTTAGAGACCTTTTTACGGAAATATTTTGAGATGGAAAATGGCTTAACCATATTTTACGATTGGATCATAATATTCAATGTTATTAAAATTAATTCACACGAAAATTTCAACAAAAGCTGTTTATTTCAACGGCGCCAATTACAAACAATTGCGTCATGACCAAAGAAATTTAACGTCATACATGCTGCAAGGCCGCAATAATACATAAATTTACATTGAATAATTATATTCGATTTTGCAAACATTACGTCGTATGCACATTCAACCATTATTTTGTCATTTACGCTTGTATCTCTAATAAACTCAATCTGAAAATGAGCATCGCGATGATGTAATGGCCAAGCCGCCTGCCTTGTCGCTGCTGACGTTGTCTGGGTTCGAACGCGGTGGAATCCAGGTCTACCAAATGCAGCATTTGGATTCATATGTATTTAAATGCACATGCTTGTTGATACATCGGAGAAATACCTAAAAGAATTGCAAACTAACAAATTCCTATTTTAAAGCAATCAACAAGTACACCGACATTAGTTTAAACGTTCCAAATAACATATGTTATCGTTAAATTGTAGCCGGAACATAGTTTTGACTGAATTAAGAACAACGTTGTCGACTCCAGCAAAGTATTTTAGAAACTTGACAGGAATAATTATATAAGCTGAACCTTTAATTAAATCTTTAATTAATAAATAATAGTTTGTGAATGTTAGCAGACCGAAGAATTTTATTCAGTGGCATTGTAGTACATTACAATTTGATAACTCAATTAGGTTATCGCTATAATCAACAATATTAAATTGAGTAACTGTAATAATTTTGATGTTTATAAAACCAGAAAAAAATTGAAATTTTCATTTTTGAAACATAATTCAAAAAATGTCTATTTAAAAATTTAAACATAAATTTTCTATGATAATTTGAGTCTCACTAAACGGAATTCACTTCATTTCTCGGACTCTTCCTAAATGAGGATGAAATAAAATTATAAATAAATTAATAACTTTAAGAGCCAGTTAAATATGATAATTTAATTTAATTAATAATATTTATATATAAATAAAAAATGTCAACTTTTGATATTTCTTTCAATTCATACGTAACACGACCATGAATTATATCTAGAGTTATTTTCTTACAAATTTAGTTTCTTTCATCTCAATTACTAAATAAATCTAATGGAAACTAAAAATCGTCTCTCATTTTATAACAATAATTATTCAGTTAGGTTGCTTCAACGGAGCAGAAGTCAATCCTTATGGCTGGTATTTTCAATTTGCAATATATTCCACTTCCTAACACATTTTGAAGTCAATTTTTTAATATTGATGACAAATTTACAATTTTTAGCTGAATACAACTTTAAATTATACAGATAACAACTTTTATAAGCCAACTTTTTTAAGTTCAATTTTCTTTTTCAATTCAGAATATCTGGACTGCAGTTCTTTCTCTCTGTCTTTTTGTCTGTCTACATCATCTTTCAAAGACTGAAAATAAAAATAATAAATTTGAGGCGTATTGAAACATTGAAGCAAACTGAAATTTAGACATTTCCGTAATAATTTTCATTCAAATAAAATACAAAATAAAATAGAATAGAGAAAAGAATAAATAAAATAGAATACAGAATATAATGAAAAATGTTTGCACTAAATCAGATTTGTTTATAGATTTTTTGAGTTCACGTTAAAAGATTTGAAGAAATCATCATCATGAAAAAGTTTTAGCCTAATTTCATTAAAACGAGATTAAAACAGAAAAAAGGTTTATGAAAATTTTACATAAAAATTTTAACCAATTTTAAAAATGATACAACCAATAAAAATACATACGCTAAGTCTTTTCTGGACAGCAATTGATTCGTGTTGTTGAAGCTTTTTAAATGTTTCGTATTCAATGTGTGTTTGTTCAAAATGCTCCTGCAGCTCCTCAAGCCTCTTTGTTAACTCAATTTCTTTACTCTAAAATTAATAATTATATCATAATTTAATTTATGCATAAATAAATAACAGATTGTAGACAAAGCCCAACATTTAGAAACATTTATTAAGAGTTTATAGATACAATACGTCTGAAAATTAGATCGCGGCATAATATATAAGGCAATCAAGCTCCATCTAACCTGGTAGCCACCAAGTATGACTTTCAATTTTTTCTCGTATTTCACGGCCACCTTCGAATCAGCTTCCAAATGCTTCTTATTAGTCTAAATTAAAAAAAATCATTTTTGAATAATCAAATGATGCTTTCAAGTTGCATCAATTTTATTAACACAATTGCAGATCTTTTCCTTTACACTCAAGTCGTGTCAATCCAGTTATTAATCTTTCAGGATTTTATTCTAAAATTTTATATTTCTGAAAATAACGCCAAAATTTTGTCAGAATAGAGATTCACCCACATCCTTTCATCAAATTCATAAATCTATTTGTTCTTACGTTGAGGTTAACTTCAACTCGAGTATGTGATTGATTTTTTAATCACAGTATTATTATTATTCTCTTAGATATTTCGCAGAGGTTATTAAAACAAACACACAGAGCACAAATACACGTGAATCAACGCATCACACGCTTTTGCATGTGATAGGCGAAAATTTCATTAGAGTCGAGCCCGGGTACTGCATAGACAACGCCAGGCATCTTAACCTTTACACCATCGTGCCGCCCGATCTCTTACTTCGTCCAACTCAACACCAGCAAGAAAGAAATGGAGATTATCGGCATTCGTCTAAAGCAACGAGAAACAAGAACTACAAGAAGAATCGGAAAAAAAACGTTAGCACTGCCGATATTGGGAAAGCATGTACTTTAAACTGTCACCTGACTTCAAAACATTGCAACGAATTGCTGCAAACCGCCAATAATGTTCCACTATTTCAGACAGGTTGAACTGAAACATTATTGTTTCACTGGAAAGCAAGACCGCAGTTTACTATTTATAGGGATGAATTTGGATTAGCTGAAAACTATGCCACTTGAATGAGTTAAATTTATCAATTCAAGAACACTGTTTGTCTGAAAAGATCAAATCCTTCTAAACTACTGTTTTAGCAAACAAAATTGGATGAAAACTAAATTTTTCTTTCGTCAACCAGAGTGTTCTAGTCGGTTAGTCATCATGACTAAATACGGAAGACTCAAAGTAGATTTTTTTGTGTTCAAACTGTTGCAACAATCTTGTTGCCTGCTATTATGCATTTGTAATTTATTTCTAATTAAATAAAATTATTATGGAGAAAATATATTTATCAATTTTCTTGTCATTAGTAAAATTAAACCATGAGTATTATAAAGGATGAGAATCACTGGTAAAAATGAATTAAATTAGCTTAATTAATTTTAAACTCCCAACATGAATCATAAGCATGTGAAGCAATTTTCAAGCAGCTTGTTTTGAAATCCATTAATACGGCATAGACTTGCTCTGCGTTCATTAAACTAACCATCGAAACAACAAAACAAAAACTATGTAAATTTTAAACAATTTCAACAGAATAGAAAAACTGAATAATAAAACGTGCAACATATACTCAATCAATATATATGCAATCCCAAGCCTCCTTGATTGAATGATGTATACACCAACCTCAAGTCTCTTCTCCAGAGACTCAATCTTTTCTTTCTTGCTGGCCAGGTTGGCTCTCGTGAACCTCTTGACAGCAGGCAGGTACAAGACCTGTTCATAGCAATTCTCCCACACCTGATTATGCGGTCCATTTCAACATTTTTATATCAGAATGTCAATTCACAACTTTTTTAAAGCTGATTTAGAATGTTAAAAAAAAAACCTATCTAACAAAAGAATGTAGTTAACAGGTTAGGCAGGAGATGCTTTATTATTATTATTTGATACTTGAATAAAACTGCTCACAAAAAGTGACCGAATGTGGCAAGCAAAGAACAAACAGTTATTCAATAAAATGATATACACAAAATATTTTTAAAAAAATTGTCGTGTCTATTAGTTTATTATTATTCATTAAATATTACCACTTTATTGACAAAAGCTGCTAGAACATCTACATAACTAGTTAGTTTAATGTTACACTGTTGATTTCTAGAGGTGCTGTGTGTTTGTAGAATGGAATTATGAAAAATGAGCAAACTGACTTCGGTGTAAGCATCCAAAGATAGATTCGAATGTCCCATTCTCTCCTTCACAATCGACATCTCCTCTTTCAACATTCTGGCCGCCTGTATTTTAAAGTTTAAATTTTTCTTGAACAATCCATTGGTCACGTTTATTTATTAATCAGATTTCAACATTATGTTTTAACAGGACGAGAAATATTGTTAACGAAGATTTTAATTAGGAATCAATGAGAGGATATCATTAGAGTTAATTAGTGTTGTTTCGAATACTACTCATCGATTACTTTTACTCGAGTATTATAAAGTACTCGATACTCTCGAATCCTTTAAAAAAATAATCGATTACATGTTCGACTACTTTTTCTATTCCGAGTATGTTTTCGATTCCGAGTATATTTTATTTTCGATTCCGAAAATATTTTCGATTCCGAGTATATTTTCGATTTGGAGTATATTTTCGATTTGGAGTATATTTTCGATTCCGAGTATATTTTTGATTTGGAGTATAGATGCATAAGCGCATAATTTAAGAACATGGTATGTTAATGATTAGGCTAAGGCTAGGCATACATGACACATAATAACAACATCACTAATTGTGAGGTGAGCTGGACAATTTTCTTTGTGCTATAACATGGGTTATGCATAAATTATAAGCTGATCTTTGTGTAAGAGAACTTGTGCACGTACATACATGATACATAATAACAACATCACTAATTGTGAGGTGAGCTGGGCAATTTTCTTTATGCTATAACATGGGTTATGCATAAATTAAAAGCTGCTTTGAATATCCGAAAAAGTAATCGAATATTTTATTCGATTACTTTTGATGAAGAATCGAAAGAATCGATTACCAAAAGTAATCGAAAGTTTCATCACTAGAGTTAATTTTCTTACTGTCAACCTCTGAAATGGACAACAACGTGCAACAAATGATTAACAAAAAACTGTTCATTACTCACGACGACAAGAACCCACGGTTAAAATATAACACCTAACAATATCTTCCAAACCTTATCAATCTCGTTTAAGGAGAATTTTTCATACGGATGTGACCTGAGAAATTCGACATGATTGATTTCTTGCTGCTGTTGCTGCTTGGCTGTCAAGGAAGATTGCGGCGGATCCATGAGGTTATCATAATGCAGTATGGTCAGCATCTCCTCTTTGATCAGTTCCTCTGCCTGGAAGAAATTATCCATAAAAAACAGATTGATTAATATTTTTTTCAAAATGCAGATATATTAATAAAATCATATTCACAATTATCATTTTGTTGCTTTGAGACCAAATTAAAAATGTACCAAGAATGACGAGTCATTGTGAGGAACCAGCAGTTGTCTCTTGATCATAAATTGGTTTTATTGAAAGGAACTCAGTCAATTAAGAAATCATGCCTCACGAATATTAAGCACTTTCTGATAGATTTGTACTTAACTTTATCAAATAACAAAACGTGACCATGGTAACATACCACGTGAAGTATGTAATGACTTAAGTAATCGAATCGTGTTGTTTTGTTGCTGTTTAAATCCAGATGTATTTGAAACGTGCATATCAAAAAATACAGAACAGACAACGAGTTGAGTTAAAAAGTTAAAGCTATTTTCAACTGGAAGAAACACGAAAATTGTGTCCGACTAATTCCATGCAATTCCATGATTTTCAGGCCTTTCAATATTTTGTGATTGTAGTTGAAAACTTAAAACTAATTGTAGATTATTTAAACTTTAAAAGTGAATATCAATTACAAAAGTTGCAAACCGTAATTGTAAACAGTAAACGTAACATCAATCAAATAATATGAAACAATTATGAGTCCACCGACAGTTAGAGGATTTACGAAAAAAATGTGATTCCCAACCTTTTGCAGTTCAGAAAGAGGCAGGTCATCAGGGTTCAACGACCTCAGGACAGTATTGTTGACTTCAGAAGGCCTAGGCAGTGACCTCTGCATCACTTGTGATCGACTTTTCAATTCCTTCAGTCCTATCAATCAAACAATCAATCAAAGTGACACTTTGAAGCATTACAACATTTAAACCGGCCACCAGCCAGGCAAAATCAACATCATAAGCAAATATTTAGACACATGGATTACTTTCAGCTTGAATTTTTTCCTCCTTCATTTGGTCGACGTCCGATTGGTCTGGCAGTAAGTGTGATCCATCGTCTCCATTCTCCAAGCCATCCTCCACTCCGTTCTGCTCCTCAGGCAAAACAATTTCATAGTCATCCTTTGGGGCTGGTAAGTTTGCTAGGGCTTTTTTCAAAGAATATTTCTGCAAAAAAAAGACCAACATATTAAAAATAAAATATTTGCCAGCAACAATCATAAGTGAATTTCTTTGGTTGTAAATGTGTATCTCTGAATTGCATACAAGTAACAAATAAATGCATTATATAATTAATAGATTGGCATTATTTGTGTTTGTTTGTGTATAAAGATCTGATAAGTCAAAAAAATGAATAAAAAGTTTACCGTTTGTATATCAGTGAGATTGTCTTCATCATGGGTCACAGGTGTCATGAGGACATTATCACCATCTTCCTGCCTGACTGAAGATCTCACTGAAGATCGCACAGTGGAGGAGCGCACAGATGACCTCACAGATCTGTCAGTCACATTCAGTTTGTTTTTCAGTTCTCGGAGTTCTTTGAAATTTTGTTAAAAAATTAGCAAACTTACAATTATAACAGAAATAATGTTATCAATCACTGCAGTCAATAACTTTGATGCCTAAGAGTTAGTAACAGTGCAAATTATTTATTTATCAACAGAGAGGCAATGAACTCATTCAAATAACATTCAAGATCTTTAAAAGAGCATCGGGCATTGTGTGTGATGTGGTGCATTTCTTTGGTTGTAAATATGTATTTTTGAATTGCATACAAGTAACAAATAAGTACATTATGTAAGTACATTATATAATTATCAGATTGCTCAGTCATTTATTTGTGTTTGTGTGTAAATGACTTGTACGTAAAAATGAATAGTCTTTGTAAAATGAAAGTAATTGAAATTAGATGAAAATGAGCCAGTAAATTATCCACTTGTAATAAATCAGTAAGAAATGCATAATAAAGATAAATAATAATTATAGTACATTTTCATAAACAACACGAAAATACCATAAATGCAAAGAAAATTTAATTGAAAATGACTCACTTTCAGCCTTCAATCTTTCAGCATCTGAGAGCTCCAACTCTTCAAATGCCTCTTCGTTGTTCAGTCCAATATCTAAAGGAACTATTTCTTCATCACCCTTACTTTGGGGCTTGAAAAAATATTTCTGAAAGAAAAAAAAGACCTTTCAGCAAACGTAAAGCTAATAGAATTATAACAAAAAATAAGAAGATATTTAAAGCACACAACACAAAAACTAGGAAAGAAAGAAACTAACTAACCCCACTCTCTTCAGCTTGCTGTCTCACAAACTCACTGGCCTGTCCGACTTTAATGACTTCTTCCAGTTCGCGATCTGAAATCTGTGGTTCAGGCAGGACCAGCTTGCTTCTTTTTCTTACTGGTTCGGAAAATCTTGAAATGAAAAGTAATTAATCGTGCAAAATGGCAATCTTTAAACGTTATTAGCATAAGGGCAATAGACAGATTTATAAAATTACAAACAGGCAACACATAAAACAATAATAATCAATGAACCATTAACAATATTAAGTTAAAACCTAACAAATCTTAACAATTGTCTATTTTCTGCAACCACACTAATAACCAACTTATTCTGAGCCAGCAATGCATCCGGTAAATTATTCTCCTTCCTCTGTTTCAAGCGTTCCTTGTCTTTCTTCAGTTCAGCCTGTAGTATAATTATTTTATGGGACGAATTTAACAACAGTCAAAATGGAGATCCAAATGAAACATAATAGATATAGAAAACAAATGAATCAATTTGTATGGTCATCAAATGGAAAAATAATTGATAAGGACTACAATGGAAAAATAAATTGGCACAGTAATTACTTCTTCCTTATCCCTTCTCATGTCACCGTCCAACTGTTGTTGACGGAGACGTTTGAAATCAGGGTCCAGGGGATCAAACTTCTCATTAGACGTGTCGTAAAATCCTACATTTTCATTGGAAATTTTTATCAAATTTATATTTATTTAGTAATTAATTTAATAACTTATTTATTCATTTATTTGTAAACCAGAAGCCAACATGACTTGTAATTCATAACGTACACATGATGATGAAGATATGTTTAAAGTATTATCAAAAATATAAAAAAAGTACTTGTTAGGAAGAAATGCTTAAAAACAACAACCAACCAGGGGCAGGTTTCTTCTCAAATGGAACCTCATTCAAATAGTCAATTCCTCTTTTCTTCCTCTTCTTTTCTCTTATACTGTGCATGTATATTGAAATGTTTACTGTTTGTGAATGTTTTATTTATGAAAAGGTTGAAGTTTAAACAAACATTTAATAACTTGTCAGAAGAAAACTAACAAAATTCCAGCTGCTCTTAGTTCCCTTCTTTTCTGAAGCGATGCAAGTCGTCTAGATGTATTAAAAAAGAATTTAGAATAACGATTGAATTTTCTCTAAAGAAGAACAGACTGAAAATATTGCACAATAATATTTAAAGGAAAATATTAAATAAATTAGATAATGTAGGAAAATCCAATGGAACGAACAAAACTAAAAAAATAAAATTACCTTGCTTCATTCAACTGCTCTTCTCTGGCTTTTCTTTTAGCTTTCTTGCCCTGTGTGTTGGCCAAACGAGCCCTGGCCTCAGACAACATTTCCAGTTCGTCTTCATCCATGTCTATGGGATCCGGGCGAGCAGGTTTTGTTTCAGGATTTGGATCAATCTCCCCAGGTTTCAACTTCCTAGGATCGTCATCACCCATTTCTTGGTCTCTCTGCTGCGCTTTGTCCCTTAAGCAAGTGTGCATATAATTATGATGTTAATTTGAATTTGAAACCATCCTTATAAAACACGCACACACAGTAAAAAATATATGAAGCATTCATTCTTTAATTCAATATACCGTCAATTGCATATTTGTTGATATAATACTTTTATTATATGATTTGCATGAGGAAAGACCAACTGCAGCTTCTAAAATTTGCAGTGTAACCTTGGGTTGGTGAAAAAAAAAGATTTGATGTTCAAAAGATGTCTTGAGGCAGATAAGTAGTGGCAGGCGCACCCCACGTTGAAATAAAAATTTAACAAACTCAGAGGCATATCAGTTGAGCTCTGAGTAAGTTGATTCAGCAGTTTACAACCAGCTGTAAGAAAAAGGCTGGCATGGTTGATTAATGAACTTGAATATAAAAACATCAAATGTTTGTAAGACTTAACTTGTTAACATCAATCTTAGCACTTTTCAGTAGCAAAATAAAATTGATTTATATAAAAAAATTGAAAGCTCGTCAAAAACCATCACTTGGGTTTGGATTTTTGTATTTCAATTTAGCTTTAATGAAAACATGTATAACATATCTGCATTAAGTTATCAACGGAGAAATTTTAAAAAATATAAAGTGAAAGATTAATGATTGGAGTGGACATTTTGAAACTGATGAATCTAGGAATAACCAATTTATAACCAGGAAGGAATTACTGATTAATTGAATACTTTTCTTTAATGAAAGTAATATAATAAAAGGCGCAGAACCATTAAAATTCAATTGAATTTATAGAACTTTAGTAATTTTGTTTACAATGCATTTCAAACGGAAAAATTCTTACAGTAAAAATTCATAATGTTCCAAACACTGAGCTGCCGTCCTGCCAACGATAGGAGCAATGGTTCTCCACTGTGTAGGCATCATCTTAGCCAGGTGCAATAACTTCTCCTCTTCTTCTCTGCTCCATTCTGTCTTTTTTATACTGGGATCCAACCATTCAAACCATCTGGCCTTGCACTGCTTGGCGGATTTCCTGTGCAACAATGAGGCAATTCGAGACCACTGATTTTTGCCATATTTCATGACAGCTGCCTTCAAGATCTCATCCTTTATTTAACAAATAAATAGTGAAAACAAATTTAAAAGTATTCATAAAATTTACCAATAAATGGTGACAAAATGATTAGAAAAACAAACATTACCTAAGATCAACTTAGAACGTAAGCAAGATATAATAAAAAATATGTTTGTACTTTTTTGCATGTACAAACTTCTTTTGTGTAACTGAGTTTGATTGTTTTGTCAGGTTATTAACACATCATTCAAGTATGTTTTTTTAATAATTCATTAATGGAGACTGTGACAGGTCTTTAAGGAAGTCATTTTAAAAAAGTCATTTAAAAGTAGACCAAAAATAGATTTAAAAATAATAAACTATCATTTGCAAACATAAACAAAGTTGAATTATAAAAGATATAAAAAACACAGTACATTGGAATAGTTACTTACCTATCATTACACCTAATTACTTTTTCAACCTTATATTGTAGAAGAGATTAAAATATTAAAAAATTCATTTTCATTTCATGCAGTAATTTAATAAAAACTATCCTGAATACTGTTAATTTTTTCTTCAATTTAAAAATTTATCCAACAAAATAAAATACAAAAATTTAATTTAGCTTCAACTACCAAAACTATTCTAATTAAAGAGTTTTCCCCCACTCATCTATAAGATTAATCAAGACATGTTCACAATAGGCAAAATCTCAGTAAGCTGCACCTCCTTTATTCATGTTCAAACGTTGTTTAAAAATTTCATTCTAAAAAAACCCCCACCTGAATATAAATTCTAAGAAATTTTTTGATTACATGATTGGAAATATGTATGCATATGCATATGATTACCAAAAAAAACAAAAAAGCAAAAAGTTTAAAAAGTTATTAATAAGTAACGTATAGTAAAAGTAAATATGATACAAAAAACTTTTGGCTTAACTGATTTTTTTCAAGAATAAAGTTGGATAAGCAGTTAAGTAATAGTAAATGACAGCTCTTTCTTTCAAGCATATGGTGTTTTCGTATTAGTACATACTGTTTTACACCAACTATTTTTATTTCACATTAATGCTGTAACTATCTGATGATGACATGACCGAAAAATTTTCCGTGAGAAGAACAACTATGCAAGACGTGAAGTTGCACACTGGCTCGAACAGATCAGTGCAGAGAGTGGCTCACTAAAAGCAAAGGTGAACAAATGAAATCTCTGTATTGTATAGCAAAACAAGCAAAGCGTACGAAAAAAGACATAGTTGGTGCCTCATTTATCAAAAATGACAAAAATGAGATGGTTCTTGAACAAGATGAGATCAAGCTACAGTGGAGAGAATACTTCAATTACACTGAGCAACAAAAAAAATTTTTGAGGAAATTTCCTAATTTTTAACAACTGATTTATGATAATTTGGCACCGCTGAGTCCGAAAATGACATCCGTTTCTCTAGGTCAGGTCCAGTTTTTCTGCTAAGTTAAATGTTTATTTTATTTTATTTGTGAATAAATCAGTAAAATTTTTGTGCCATAATCGGTTTATTTCTATGAACATTTCTCATTCGGAATTGGTTTCAAAGAGAAAAAAGCGTTCTGAAACACAGTACCTTAAGTAAGGGTCATTAATGTTCGTCATTGTTAAGAATTTAGGGCTGGAACTTCCGTTTATTGGATACCCTGGAATGCTCAGCATCAGGGATGTCTCTCTTTAGAGTCCAGCAGTAATCAGCCATCATGACGGCATTCCAACGTCCCTGATACCTGGTCTCCATCTCCTTCATCTCCTGGTGGAATCTCTCTCCCTGCTCGTCGCTCATTGATCCAAGATTCTCAGGAAAACGATCCATATGTGAAAATAGATAATGCAGTTTGATGCTCATGTTGCATCCGAGTTTTTTGAAAGCAGTCACCATATTGTTGACAAGTTCAGCATAGTTTCTGGCCTTGTTGTTGCCAAGGAAGTTTTTCACAACGAGAACAAAAGCATTCCATGCTTCCTGTTCCACTTTGTTCATTGACTTTTCAAACTCTGGATCTCTGATGAGCCGACGGATTTGAGGACCGTCAAAGATACCAGCTTTTAACTTTACTATGGTTACTCCCGGAAATGTCTGGCACATGTAATTGAAGCAGCCACCTTCCTTGTCTAGAGCTTTTGTGAACTGCTTGATCAAGCCAAGCTTGATGTGCAGTGGTGGGAAGAGTATCCTGTCTCTGTCCACCAGAGGGCTGTTGATAACGTTACTTGCTCTGCAAAGCACTAGTTCCTCTCGCACAGGCCAGTCTTTCTTCGTGTAATGGTGAGCAGTGTCCCTACTGTCCCACATGCACAGAAAACATGGGTATTTGGTGAACCCGGATTGTTGCCCCAACAAAAAATTCACCATCTTCAGGTCGACACAAATAACCCACTTATGCTGATCATAACGAATCATCTCCAGCACATACTTCACCGCTTCATACTTCTCCTTCAGTTTAGTAGAGTGAGCAAGGGGCACAGAGGCAAACTGGTAGCCGTTGTGCAGTAGAACACATTTCAGTGACCGCTTGCTGCTGTCAATGAACAGTCTCCAGTCTTCGGGCTTGTACTGCGGCACTCCCAGGTGGTGCAGAAGCTGTGCAATATCTGTGCAGTACACCAAGTCCTGCACCTCCGAGAAAAATTGGAGGTACTCTTGATGCCTGTTGCGGTACAGGGAGATGCGAGCACAGCCAGAGAGGAGGTTTTTTTTTTCAATCTGGATGCCAACAGTTCAGCAGAGGCCTTTGACAAGTTGAGGTCGCGAACTAGATCATTTAGCTCCTGTTGGAAAAAAAGCTGTGGAGTTTCATCGTCAACAACTGGCCATTCTTCTTCTGTTTCCTGATCTTCACCACTGGAGGATTCGTCATCACTGATGTCTTGAAGTTTGTGAAACACAGGTACTGGAATATCATCACAATGAGCTACAGGACGACGTGCGGATTGCAAATCAGGATACTCGAGGCTGCTTCGGTTCTTTCTGTTTATCCCAGTCAGATCGATGCTACAGAAGTAGCAGTCAGTGTCATGGTTTCTCTGCTCCCGCCAAACCATGGGAATTCCAAACTTCAGACACGTCTTCTTGCCCTTGGTCCACTGACGCAGATACACGGTGCAAGCCTTGCATACCATGTGTGGCGCCCAATCTTTATCCTGGTCACCAAGTTTAATACCAAAATAAGCATGGTAAGCACGCTTTATGAAACATGTGACTTGATTCCTGTTATGAACAAGTGTGTATTCACCGCAGATATAGCAAAATACGTCGGGTTTATTTTTACAAGATCTTCTCTTGGAAGCCATGTCGTTCGCTTGCGATTCGTTTGCAACTGATACCTATACTAATGCAATCTGCTATATGGCTCAGATTTGGAAAATGCTGACGTAACTATCCATAGTTATACACAGCCTCGTCCGGGCATGTCTGCGATTGTCTGATCACGTGACTGTAGTTACGTGATTTAATGCATTGAACGTGTGGGTGTGTGTGTGTGTGCATAGGGGAAACATAAAAATACCAATTAATTAAAAATTGCAAATTCCTCATAGTGATGAAGTGATTAAGAACAAAGCATCACATACAGCGAAAATACCTGGGACTGTACACAAAAAAGTGAAAATGAAGATATGGCCATAGCTTAGAAAGTTGACCTGATCTAGAAAAACCAATGTGATATTTGGATTCAGGACATCAAAATTTCCATAAATCAGCCGAAAGACCTTAGGAAATTTTTTGGGTGTTGACCAGTGTTATCTGTTAAACGAAACAAATCCCATCAATGTTAACTTTGACGCTCCACCCATCGAAGGTCCGATTCCAGACATCACTGTAGAGGAGCTTACAGAAGCTCTGAAAACTATGAAGGATGGAAAGGCAGCAGGGCCCTCTGGACTCACAAATGACATTATCAAAGCATCTGGTACTGCAGGTATACAAACGTTACTACAACTTTGCCGTGAAATCTGGAGAAAATGCTCAATGCCGACCGAATGGAACTATAGCATGACAGTCCCGCTATACAAAGGCAAAGGTGATCCATTGAACTGTTCATCATATCGGGGTATACGTCTGTTAGAGCAATCTCTGAAAATTGTCAAGAAAATCATTGAGAGAAGATTAACGTCGTGCATCGCAATCGGAAATTATCAATTTGGTTTTCTAGCGGGGAAATCAACAATTGATGCAATTCACATCCTTCGGCAACTGCAAGAGAAGTACCTCGCAAAGCATCAACAACTATCACACATTTTTGTAGACCTTGAAAAAGCATTTGATCGAGTTCCCCGTGAAGCAATCAAGTGGAGTCTACGTCAACAACTCATCGGCGTTGGAGTTCACCAAGGCTCGATTCTCAGTCCACGGTTATTTATAACTGTGATGAAAGAAATCACAAAACCGATACTCACTGGTGACATTTGGAATCTAATATATGCTGATGATATCGTTTTAACAGCTACGTCTGAGCAGAATGCAGCACAGATGTTTGTAGATTGGAACACCAGACTCGCCGATCATGGATTCAAAGTCAACATCAGCAAAACCAAAACAATGAACAGTGGTGAACCCATCCAATCCACAGCTACTGGACGATGGCCCTGTTCAGTTTGTAAAGCTGGTGTAGGTAACAATTCAATCAAGTGTCAGCAGTGTAACCAGTGGTGTCACAAACGTTGTTCAAAAATAATTGGTACTTTATTTGTCCTGCTTGCATCAATCCACAACAACAAATTCAAAATAGCACTGTTTTTGAAGCCATTAAAGTAGAGAAAGTCACATCGTTTCAATATCTAGGGGATGTTCTGAATTGTACTGGAACAGCTGAAGCTGCCGTTTGAGCATGCATACGTGCAGCCTAGAATAAATGGCATCTCCTTGCCTCTATATTGATGCGGCGTGACATCCCACTACCACTACGATCAAGACTTTATAAATCTGTGATACATCCGGTGTTGTTATATGGTGCAGAAACATGGCCAATGACAACCAAACTGGAACAACTTTAACGAACCGACATGAAAATGCTCTGATGGATGCATTGAATTTGTCTGAAGGACCACATCAAATCAACCGAAATCGTGCGTCGTGCCAGTTTAAAGGACGAACGCCGGCAATCCTTTTAGTTTCTACCTTCAGTCTTTACTAGCTTAAAGTAGAGAGGAAAACATAAGTCTTAAAATAAAAAAAAACTAAATTAGGGGAAAAGCTAGCAAATGTTCATCAGCAAGACTTCAGTTTTTTTAACTTTTTAAGCTATTATACAGCAATAGTTATGAGTTGATAAGCGTCAAAGTTAGGGACAGGAAACTTTTGCAAAAGATTTTGTCAGCAAAATCCAAAATGTTTTTGCTGACTTTTGACAAGTACCAAAAACTAATTTATAAATTTATTCAACAAAAAAGTAAAATTTAATTTCCCATCTTAGTGAAAATTAAAAAAAAAAAACCTCAGTGTTCCTCCACACTCCTCCTTTGATCATAATTCTCGGCATTGTTACGGTTGTTTCGTTTCAAAATGACAAAAAATGGTTTTAATAAAATCAAATTCAAATCATATTAACTCAAGTCGATAATAAAGAGTTTAGCAAAAATTAACACCAAAACAATGACAATCTTATATGGAACACTCCAACAGTATTGCAATTATTTATGCCAATTTTCAATTTTCCCAGTTATCAGAGCCCACGAGCCCACATATATAAGGAATATAAACGCGTATACGTATTAGCATATTTTTGCTAAAAGGTCATTAACATATGTTCTGCAGCATATTTTCTACAGCATATTTTCTGCTAAGAAATAATTTACGTGTTCTGAGACTGCTGCATCTTTCTTTTAATATTACTGATTCTTGTCTATCTTGGTTTTCTTCTTATTTCTGTAATCGTTTTTCTTCTGTTGTTCTCAATAATTCTACTTCTAATTCCTCTACTCTTACTTTCGGGGTACCTCAGGGTTCTATCCTTGGCCCTCTTCTATTTATACTCTATACTTTTGAGCTACCTCGTATTATTAATAACTTTTCTTTCTCTAGTCAACTATATGCTGATGATTCTTACATTTATACTTCTTTTCCTCCATCTAATCTCAATAGTGTTCTTCATAATTTATCTCTATGTCTTTCTTCAATTATCGCTTGGTCTGACTCTATGTGTCTTAAACTTAATCCTTCTAAGTTTGAATTAATTTGTTTTAATAAATCTAAACACTCTACTACTATTCCTCCTATTATCTTACCTGATTCTAAAACTCTTGATGTCTCTCATAAGTTTCGTAGTCTAGGTTTTATCTTTGATTCTACTATGTCTCTCTCTTCTCAGATTAATAGTGTTGCTAGAAGCTCTTACTTTCATCTACGTAGAATAAAAAAACTTTTGCCTTTTCTTGATGATCCTACTCTTCTCCTTCTTGTTACTTCGTTAGTCTTATCTAAGATTGATTATTGTAACTCGCTCTACTATGGTCTTCCTAACTCTGTACTCTATCCTTTAAGTAAAGCTTTTAACTCTGCTGCTCGTATAGTTGCTCGTGCCCCTTTCTTTTCTCATATATCTCCATATCTTGTTCTCTTGCACTGGCTACCTATAAAATATAAAATAATTTTTAAAATTTGCACGTTCCTGCATAAGTCTCAATCTAAATTATTTCCTAAGTATTTATCAGATATATTAATTGAACCTAAACGCCCCGGTTTACGATCGTCTTTTTCTTCTCGCTTTTTCTTAACTCGTGTTAAACATTCTTTTGCCAAATCTGCTTTTGCTTTTTCTGGTCCTTTTCTCTGGAACTCTCTACCTACTTCTCTGACTACTTCTCCATCACTTGCGAAGTTCAGAGCGAATCTCAAGGCCCATCTGTTTTCAAAATTCATTGAGGAGCGCTGTTGAATATTGCGGAAATAGCGCTTTATAAGCTAATTGATTGAGTGATTGATTCTGTTAAAAAGGTCATTAGTGTATCACGTATATGTGCCATTAAGCTATCTGAATATTCTATAATCATATATATAAAATATAGCATTGTTAAATGTTATATTCTATATGTGACAGAAATGGACCGGAATACTGACCTGGTAGCGTGCGTCTTAACATTCTTTTGAACTAACTCTCAATCACCAGGCCTTAAACTGTTAGCATATCCATGAACCAACTAAAATGCATGTGGGACGCCATTGCTGCTCACGCTTCTGGTAACATTTTGATCGAGTTAACACGTACAGTAAAATGGATTCACGGGGAAAGGATTCAAAGATGCATTTTCTCACTAGACCATTAAAATAAAAATACTAAGATTTTGTGCAAATTATAGTAATAACAATAAAGTAAACGGAGAATAGCGAAAAAATGTCATTAACAAAAAATTTCTAAACCACTCCCCACCGAAAAACGGGAATAGAATGGGCATTGATTACATGAATTAGCTATAAAATAGGTCAACTTTGAAATCATTCCCTCAGGTGTATGCAAACCATGGCATATGCTCCTGTGCTCTTGTCTAATCATTAAATTAAACAAAAATCATATACATATACAATATAACATTATGTCATATAATGTTATATCTATATATATGAAAGGAATGGACCGGAATAATGACATGGTAAGGTGCGTCTTTACATTCTATTGAACTAACTCTCGATCACCTGACTTTAAACTGCTAGCATATCCATGAACCAACTAATATGTATGTGGGACGCCATTGCTGCTCTTGCTTCTGGTAAAGTTTATAACGAGAATACAGTAAAACCACACCTACCAGTATAAAACAACACGGTCACAATATAGTATTAAAGTATATGGTTAAAACATACAAAAAAAAAATCAAATTTAGCTTTAATTCGAAAGTACATATCCTAAAAGTAAATAAATGAGGCTAATAACATTTAATAGAAGTAAATTATTTGAGGGCTCAATATTGTCCAAGAAAGCTCTATTTATATGAGTTGTATTTAATTTAATCACAGATCGCCAGCTACGATTTTACATTCACATTATTATAACAACTGTAACAATGTAAAAATCAACTTCGATATTATAGTCTGGCGTACACAAATTAATAAACAAATTCGCGCAATTGATGATAATTTGTTGATCATTTTCAACACAAATTTTACAATGTTTTATATTTATCAGTAGCTTCAATCAAGGCTGATACAACGCCCACTTCTTTAGCAGAATGTCCAGCATCATGGATAAGTTTAAATTCGGCTTCAGGCCACCTCTGGAAAATAATTTTTAAGTCAATTACTATTGCACGAAATTATTCAACGCTCGCGGAATTTTAAACTGGAACTGCCCAACCGCGTTCTTACCGTTATAAACTTTTTATTGGAAGACAGAAGAGCATAAACGTTACACTCTCACTGCATATTACGGAGAACGTGTTTAGCAGATGAATATAGAATGCGATGATTTTATGACATATGCTTCCAGGTCAAATTTGAGAGCTATAGTTCAATTTTTTGTCATATTGGATGCACTGCATGAACCATTTGAACACCATCATTTGAAGAATCTCTCAAGAACTTCTCTCAAGCCTCGGTCACAAATTTTATGACGATCTCAAGTCGCATTTACCGACTAAACTAAGCCAAACTCGTTGAGGGGCATTGCCAGTGAGTGGGCGGTGTTATAAAAATGTTAACTGATCGATTGGTGCTGTGAATTTATACACTATATAAATAACCAGATACTGTCTTTGTTACCTTGTGCAATTCCCATGCAGTATCCATGGGACAGACAACGTCATAACGACCCTGAATGATTGTGCACGGAATGTGACGAATTTTTTCTACGTTATCCAAAACTTGATTTTCTGAGTGGAAAAATCCTCCATGGGCAAAGTAATGGCTGCAAATTTTAAAATATAAATTTATTCGAATCCAGTAGCTTTCGAACGTTTCAACTAAAAAATAACAATTTTGATACTGTGAACTAACGATTCGATCCTTGCAAACTGGAGAACCCAAGTATCAGAGTCTGTGCGACTTAAAAGATTTTTGTCCACTATCAACCTGAGAAATGATTAAAATTCAATTACATCATGTAAACAGATCATTATTGCTTTTTACAGTACTAAAGTTTTTTAATGATTTAGATGTTAATCACTATGATGTTGTGGCTCAGAAGAATGCTCCCAGAAACTTTTTGACTTTTCGGAATCAAGAAAAACAATAAGTCTCAGCTCTTCTCATGTTAGTAAAGTTGATTTTAGTAAGCAAATGCTACTTACTACATATTATACATGTTGAACAAATCTCATTCAGTTTGCTGTTCTCAGTCCACAGCTATCCAATGAAAGGTAAAGGTATTGGATGCATGTGCAGTTTGTGCACACATACAGATATATTTCCATACTTATAAAGCATGTATGATTCTAAACGTATAGCAATCAAAATAAAAATCTTTCGCTTTACTGAATTCTTTAAAGAGCAGAAGAGCAAACCTGGATGTTGCCATTTCCCATTCACTCCATCTCCTGGCACATTCGAGTTTGGCTTTCATGTCATCTCCAGTTAACCTTCGGTGGTAGGCACTTATCAGATCAGCTCTCTCAACCTTTCAGTGAAAATAAAATTTTATCAACTAAATATCACTTTCTTAATCCTTAATAGCATTCTTCCAAAATACTTTATTTACAATCAACTCCGAATAAATTCTATATAAATAAAAAGTAAATAACCAGTGGAATTGGCTGTAGAAAGTTTTCCCAAAAATCAGGGAACAGCCTGTTAGCACCATCTTGGTAGTACCACGTCAGTTCTTTCCTGCATAGGTTGTTTACGAAACATGCTTCATTCTCTCGCTACAAACATCAACTTTTACAAACAATCATTACCTACGAGACATTATATTATTCAAAACATGAAAATGTAAAAAGTAAATGCTTTTTAAAGTTAAATATAGTCTTTTCCAGTGGCGGATCTAGACAAATTTGACGGTGGGGGGCCAAGATTTTGAAAAATATTTAACGACAGGGGGAAGGGAAGTTGCAGGAAAAGTTGACGACCGGGGTAAGATTTAAAAAAAAGCCGATGACCGCGGGGGGGGCAGAAATTTACACAAATTTTTCTGTGCTCACTGGGGGACCAACATTTTGATGAAAGGGCCAACATTTCTGCTGATGGGCTTATAATGTCAACTTTTTCTTCAAAAACACTACTCTCCACGTCAAAACAACGCCTTTTACATCTTTCAACACAAATAATGATCCCACTCAAGATCCGCCACTGGTCCCTTTAATGAAAAAGTACATTCGCATCAAATGCATTGCATGAAATTTACACTTGTTTTTTGGATAAACTGAAGTGGCAATAAAAGTACTAAGAAATAAACAACCTGGATGAAACATAAGCATTATATACAGCATTATTTTTGAAAAAAAAATATATATATATATATATACATATATATATATACATATATATATATACATATATATATATATATATATATATTATTATTAAGAGAAAACTTAATATAGAGTTCGTTATAGCAGTTTTCACAAACGCTATCAAATTATAACTAATATTCATATAAAAATAGCAAGAATGAAAAGAATTGAACTATAATAAAAAAAGGTATGTCTTTAATTGTCTGTTAAATTCAGCAATGTTCATTCCAGGCATTCTGAGAGCTGACGGCAAGCCGTTCCATACGACAGGGCCTGACACAGCAAAATCACGCGATCCAATCTTTAGCTGTCTATGAGGAACCACAAGAATGTTCAAATCATCAGACCTCAGACGCACACCAGATGCGATCGACGTTTTTAATTTCAGTTTACCAGTTTACCTGATAAATATTTTGGAGCCAGACCATTTAGTGATTTAAAAACTGTGACAGAGATTTTAAAAACAACTCTTTTATTTATGGGCAACCAATGCAAATAACTCAGGATCAGTGTGGCATGATCATACCATCGACATCCAGCCACAATCCAGGCAGTATGATTTTGTATTGATTGCAGAATTTTGATGGATCTAGCCAGGAGTCCATAAAATAAACTATTGCAATAATCGACATGTGAGTGCACCAACGCATGCGCCAAAGTCTGCATTGCGTCTTTATCAAGTGATTCTCAAATTTGTTTCAATATTTATATATATATATATATATATATATATATATATATATATTGGTGCGTGTGTGTGCGTATTTGTGTGTTGGCTTCAAATGAGTTTACTAAGCTAGGGACGGGGGTGGGAATTGAACTCCCATCTCTTAGAAAATAATCCCATTAGCAGGGGGTGTTACACCCCGATCAATCAAATCCTGCTCCTGACCTTCACATGGCAAAGCTGTTTAAACTAACAGGAGAGGGCGACGGCGAGTAACTGGCGCCTTATTTATATATTCTTTCATATATCACGTTTTATTAAATACAGTTTTAACAAACTATTTTTATTTTAGAAACAATCCAGAATATCGATTCTTATTTTAATACAAGCTTAAACATTTATAATTCTTAAAACACAGCCTCTCACAAGATGAATTTCAATTTTAAATATAACCAGAACCTGGTCATTCAATCAGCTTCATGTTTGTTTATCACATTTTGTAGATTCAACAGTTAGTTCAATATAAAATTAATTGTGATTCACCACATCACGTCATCACGTTTATATCATCCAATCATTTTTAAACAATCTATGCTGAAATGTAGGAAGAATGCGTGTATCGTATGCTCAGAAAAGTTTTAAAAATTTAATTCGTCATCAATATTTTTTAAAGAATTTTTGTTGGATCAGAACAAAAACAGATGAGTTTTACCATCATGGCATGATGTGGTGGTTATTATTATTATTAACAGGGTTTAAAGTGGTTCAGAAGATTATGGTCTGTGTAAGAACCACTACTAATTAGATCTCCTAATATCCTATCTGTCCGAGTTTGGCTATGAAGCTGTTGAGTGAATTCACAGAGACTGCATCATTGCTTAGCTTGTTCCAAGCGATGATGCAGTCTCTGTGAATTCACTCAACAGCTTCAAAGCCAAACTCGGACAAATAGGATATTAGGAGATCTAATTATCTCCTAACTACTTTTTTCATGGTGTGTCCAATGCAATGCAAACTCTTATGCAAGGAATCAGTGATTGTTTGTTAGTGCATTCATGCATTCATTCCCTAACTTACATTCAATCAATCAGCTGAAATATTTTTACAACAGACCTAAAATGCTTACAATCTTGTTGAAAACTTGTTTGGATGCATAATCAAATCATTAAATTTGTTATAATGAAATTAGTTATCAAACATTTGATCGAGCTTTCAAAAGCTGGAAATAACCTTTTATTGTATTGTGTTATATCTAATCTATTTGAAAAATGTTCTCAAATCGTCAACTTATGAAAGGAAATAGACACTCAGTGGTGACATAATTAATGATAGCAAATACACACTCGAAGAAACGAGTTAACAAGTATCATAACTTATCAATTAAAAAGTTATAAATATATATATAAATTTTTTGTGTCTATATATTTGTGTGTGCACATTTAATAATAAAAAAGACAACGCTATAATTTATATACAAAGAAAATTTTTTTCAATTCAGGAATTAAAAAAATAATTTCAGATGATAAATATTGAACCTTCTCAATGCAAATATGCCTCTGAGGATAAGAGCTTTAACACTGTTAGGATGGCACTGAGCATAAATGAGAGAGAGTGTTGAGCCCCAACTACCCCCAAACACTACCCACTTTTCAATCTTCAAGTGCTTTCTCAGCTCCTCAATGTCTTGCACCAGATGCCATGTAGTGTTATCCTGAACAACAAATGAAATGCCAAATAATATGAATTAGAATTAAAAAATTTTATCAAAAAGTGAAAATGAAACTAAAGGCATGTTATAGAACTTGTACAACATGTAGATTATATGGCAGGATTGAAATTGGCAGAAACAAAGTATTTAGAACATCAGACTTTCAATAATAATCTTTGTCAACACCTCATTAAACAGACAAACATTCATATTCTGTTGTATCCCAACCATGCAAAATTTACAGTAGATGATCATCAGTCATCACATCAGTTTGCAATTCAATTAGTTAACGTAAAGCACTTTTATGGCTGAGGACAGACAAGATATACATGGAATTTATGAAATATTATAAAATTTCAAAATCATGAAATTTCATTTTATAGAGAGCTAGAGTGCATCTGGAAAGTAATGATAAAAATCAGTCAGATGAAATTTTTTGGAGTAAGGTAGAAAAAACGATTTATAAAATTCAAAGCCTTCATCATCTTCGTCATCATCTTCGTCATCATTTGTTCAAAATGAGAACAAAAAGTTGTCGTGAAAACATTAGTTGATAAATTGTACAAGAATTTGATCCAGACATGGCTTTGATTAACTAAGCAGGTTAATACAAAAGAATCCAATCCAACACATTGTAAATCTTAATACGTCAATTCTATACACTGTAAATGGAAAAGAAGTAAAATAATTTCAGTTGAAAAGAAGAAAAGGATGAAAACACTGCACAATTCTCCTTATAAAAATTAGCTACATCACTTTTCACCTTGCTGCATAAGATTGATAACCCTTGCATGAGTTTGCTGATGAAGACAAAGTTGGTTTAGAGAGTTGCAGACTTTAAATCATTTAGAGATTTGACAGTTGCTGTCGTTAGTTTTATTATTTATTATTTTCAATGCAGTGCTTTTTAATTTTATTAAATAAAAACTTATATTATAGCAAATGAAAAATATCTCAAATGCACTTAACTACTCTTTAGCGAAGAAACCTGAATGAAATGCAGTAGAAAAAATGCCACTTGAATTGCAAATATGTTAAGACCGTTCAATGACCAGACTTCATTATAACAAATTGGTATGAATTAATTTGCATAAACTAATTCTATTGCAAACAAACTAAAAACACTAGTTCAAATATTTTGAATTGAAAAAGTGAAAATTGATGAATATAAATAGGTGTTAATAATTACTAATGTTGAGGTATGAAAACTTCTATTAGACTATTAGAAAGTTAAAACAAAACATCAAAATGGAACCTTGAATTTGAAATAAAAAATGTCTTGGTTGGAAAAACAAAATTGAGAATATAATGAACATAAAAAATAACTTTCTGTAAGACAAAAATCAGTTAATAAATAAAATGCAATGGTGAAAAAACACAAAACATGAAGTGAGACTCTGATGGAAGACAACATAGAAATTTCCAAGTTAGTGACAGAATGAGGTCTAGTATAAATATATTTCAAACGTTAAAAACAATCATAAACGTTACATAATTCCTTCGACTGGCAACAGACAGACTAGTTTTAATAACAAAAAATATATGAAGCGAAACTAAAAAACATAATTATATAATATAGAATGAAAGGAACATTACTATAGATTCTATTAAATTATATATTGCTGGGTGGTTATAATTGCAAAAAATTTTGGATATACATAGTGAAACTGAAAAAGAGAGAGAGAGAGAGAGAAAGAGAGAGAAAGAAAGAGAGAGTGAGAGAGGAGAGAGAGAGAGAGAGAGAGAGAAGGAGAAAGAGAGCGAGAGACCCATTTTTTACTAGACATTACACAGTATATATTCTTAAATATGTGAATATTAAATAAGACAGTGATGAATTATGTTATAGAAATCCAAACAGGAGTTTTTTTATACAAAAAGGAAACAAACACTTTGTAATTAATCACCTTGAGCTCAGCTGGTGGTTTAGAGTTACCAGAACCTCTTTGATCAAAAAGAACAATTCTGTAAGCATTAGGATCATACATTTGTCTGTCAATTGGTCCTATGCCCCCTCCAGGACCTCCATGTCTGAATGAAATGTTCACAATACAAATTTTCAATCTAATGTAGTTCAAAAATATTCCAAATGTTAAGAATGTACAGTAAGGTAGTACAATATTATAATATAAATATAATAAATATAAATAAATAATGGGCTTAAACGTAAGTTATATATGCCCATATCAAAGTAGCACTAAAAGACAACAAAAAGCAATCAAACAACAATGTCAATTCTATGATCATAGAGAAAATCTTTGTTGGCCATATATAAGTCAAAATTCTTCTTGAAGTTGGAAACAATATCTGATTCAACAACGCATGCTGGTTAATTGTTCCAAATAGAGATCACTCTGTTAGAAAACGAATACTTTCTTGTATTAGTATTGAACTTTTGAATATGTATTCTATAGCGATGCCCTCTGGTACGTGGATCCGCATCAAAACAAAAAGCTGGTGAGGAATCTCTATCTACCATACCCTTCGCAATGTTGAAAATCATTAATATGTCTCCCCGAATATTGTCAATTTCTTTTACTTTCCAAGGAGACTATACACTGACACCATACTCTAACTTTGACCTAATTAAAGATTAAAATAAATGACTCTTTAGTTAAATTTTTAAAGTTTCTGTATAACAATCCTAAAAGAACAAAACATTTATTAATGACATTATGTATATACTTAGAGAAGCTCAGTGAACGTTCAAACAAAACCCCTAAATCGTTTACTTTGTGGCCAAACGTTTAAGTATATATGTACAGTGTCTCTTTATTTTATACGTATTTGTTATCTGTTTTTCATTATTTTGTATCATATTTTTATCATCGTTTTTTAACTTATTTATTTACCTTTTGTATAAAAAATAAAGTTTTTAACTACCTTTTATTCATTTTTATCTTATACAAAAGAGCATTTTTTGGTAATAATCCATTTCAATGTAGTATGTTATCATTTATTGGTTGATCTTATATTGATATATACTTATATCTGTGTGTTCCAACTTTATTGGCTACAAAAATGGTAACAATGTGTGGGATGTTTTACACTAGGGGGCTTGTAGTAGGCTATGATGGTTTAAACAACAAGCATGCTGTATTCGTAGTACATATGTATCATATACTGTATGTATATTGTACAGTACTTGTATGTGACATTCATACTTATATTAAACTAACAAAAAATTATTACATAATGATGATAAGTTGATATGATTGTCACATAATGGATACAGTATGTCCTATGTCTAGACTCTAAATGAATTAATGATGTATAAGTGGTGCAATGAAAAACCAGATGATGATTTGATGTGACAATGATAGATGGTCAGGTCAAACAAAGTGGTTTTTTGGAAATTAAGTATTCTGGTCAAATTTCTAATAACCTACTTCCAAATTTGAAGTCTTTCCAAGTTTCTAACTAAACTTTTATACTAGTAGTAAGTTGTAGTACAGTAGAATACTGAGTAAACTTTACATCTACACTACACTATTATAGTATATATATATATATATATATATATATATATATATATATATATATAGATAGATAGACTCTATACTATACTATACTAACTATGCACATTAATCAATCAAAAAAATAATGAATCAAGTAGATCTTTGGTTGTTAATTTTTAAATTTTAATTGATAATTTTTAAATTCCCTGTTACTATACTTTGCACATACCCACACTGGTAATATCGGAGACGGCAAAGTGGTTTTTCCAGCAATATTTATTTATAGTCAACAGTTTAAAAAACAACACACAAGCTCCTCCCACAGTACAACTAAGTTAAACTAAATAATAATAGCAAAGTCGTAAGCTTGTGAAA